TCGCGCTTCCAAATTTGTTTGGTATTTTCAAATTTGTTCTCTGTTCGAAAATTTGTTCTAATTATTCAAAAAATGTCCGTGCTTTAATACATTGTTCATGCTTCCAACTTTGTTCTTTGTTTCAAAATTTGTTCTCAAGATTCAAAAAATGTTCATGCTTTAAGAAATTGTCCAAATTTATTCTTTGTTTCAAAATTTGTTCTCAAGATTCAAAAAATGTTCGTACTTTTAGAAAATATTTATGTTTAAATTTTGTTCTCTAAATTCAAAAAATGTTCGGAATTTAGAAAATGTTCCTGTTTTTTTCAAGATTTGTTCACCAGTTCAAAAAATGTTTATGTTTTTAAATATTTATGTTCAAAAAATGTCCGTGCTTTAATACATTGTTCATGCTTCCAAATTTGTTCTCTGTTTTAAAATTTGTTCTCAAGATTCAAAAAATGTTCATGCTTTAAGAAATTGTCCAAATTTGTTCTTCATTTCAAAATTTGTTCTCAAGATTCAAAAAATGTTCGTACTTTTAGAAAAAAAATTATGTTCAAATTTTGTTCTCAACTTCAAAATTTTGTTCTTTAAATTCAAAAAATATTCGGAATTTAGAAAATGTTCCTGTTTTTTCAAGATTTGTTCACCAGTTCAAAAAATGTTTATGTTTTTTTACCGATTTCAAAAAGTGTTCATATTTTCAAAAAAATTTGGGAGTTTCCATAAATGTTTCCATTTAAAGTATTTTTCGCAAATTCCAAAAAATGTTCATGTTTCAATTTTTGTTCGGAAGTTTCAAAAAATGTACGCAAGTTTTAAAAACTATTCATGTGTTCATGTTTTGTTTGGGAGTTTCAAAAGATGTTCCCAGTTTTAAAAAATGTTCGAGTATCCAAAATTTATTTTCAAATTTGAAAAATGTTCGGGTCTTCAAAGAAAACTTCCACGCTTTCTATTTTCGGGAGATTTCACAAAAATGTTCCCATTTTGAAAAAATGTTTTTTGTTTTTGGAATATTTGTTTTTTTTCAAATTTTATTCACAATCTCTAAAAGTGTTCGCTGTTTCATACAACTTTCACGTTTTTTCTCAAATATAACGTTTTGTGTACAGAATTTTAAAGACGTTCGGATGTGCGCTCGGTTTTATTCTTAATATGTTGTGCTGCGTTAAAAACCAGAAAGCTCTCTAGGTGAACTGGCTGGCTGTACTTCTTTGAAGCTTCGGTTCTTAGGTTCGAACCCTGCTTTAGAGCGTTTTTCTTCTCGATCGCTGCATTTTTTCGTTCCGTACTGGTCGCTAGCGATATGGGCCGGCCCAGTCGGGAGACCCGCCTATGCGTCCGGTCGACATTCTGCCGCAAAGAGCGGCAGATAGGACCTCTCCTCAGTCCCTACGGAACGTTGGGATAGAAGAATCATCACTCACAGAGTGGAAGCTCACCAAATCCAGACTTGCTCACTCAAAGTGATCCTTCTTACCCATAGACGTGTGCTTCTTATTACCTCGGAAAGGAAGAAGACGTGCTTGTTACTTCCTCCGTCCTATAATATAAGAGCATTTTTGACACCACATTGATGTCAAAGACTCCTCTTATATTATGAGACGGTGTGAGTATTTTTTTTATAGTTTCCTTCTCTCACCGCTTCTTCTGATTTTTTTTAGGAGTCAGGCTCTGTTCGGAAAATGCATAGGAGCTTCTGGGTGCTTCACCACCCTATAAGAATATCAAATTCAAAAATATTAGGAAAATTAAAAAACACATGGAATCTTGGGATATAAATCTGGGTGCCCAATCTACTCCTGTGTGAAGTTTCGTGGAAAAATACTAAGAAATGTATCCTTGACAAAGAAAATACAGTCCGACCTACGATCCACTGAAACAATTGTAAGGGATTGATCAAGAGTCATCGAGTGCTCAACTGTAATAGTGCACGTTACCATTTTACGTTGATGGACGACTACTTTGCCCATGCCCTATTCGCTAAAAAAAATTCACCACCGCTTTTGGATGTGAAAAAATGTCTTCGATCGTCTCTACCGTGGCGTCCGATCCTTTGATGACTACTTCATCTTGAAGAAGGATGCCATGGGAAGGATTGGGTTCTCTAGTTACTAGAAGTGAACGGCCGCACTACGGAGGCTTGCATATGGCACGACCACTGATTAATGGGACGAATACCTACGGATGTCTAAGAGCAAGTGCGGAGATATGCAATGGTAAGATTTGCTACTAGCTACTGTCGTGGTCTCGGTGCTTGGACTCAGTACTTGAGAGAATCAACTGTCACAGACACCAAGAGTATCCTGGCAATGTTTGAAGCAAGATGGTGTCCAGGTTTACTTAGGATGTGTTTGGTTGCATGGACATGCCAGGGTGGTTGTGGGTATCCCCAACCAGGTGGCTAGGGATAGCCCTTTTCTCTGTTTGGTTTGAAGGGCAGGGTTATCCCATGTTTTGTTTGGTTCAAAGGATGAAACATGGTTGAGGATAGCCATCAGAGTGTTTGGTTCAAGGGATGAATGAAGGATAAGGGTTGTGGTATTTTTTTACTTGACGTGGTGAGATTACCCTCATAATTTGCACTTCTTCAATGGAAGTAAGGAAAAAATAGTATGTACAGTCATAATTTCGAAAAATTTAACTTTTTCACAGCAAACCAAACCAAAACGATAGTCAAAATTTTGAACTTCATCACATAAGCTCAACATTCCATACATAAGTCAGGTGCACATAACTCATAGTTCAACATTCCATAGAGTACTACTAGAACTTAATAGTTACACAACCCATAGTTATGGTCTCGGTTGTGAAAAGAGCTAATCCATACAACCCATAGTTACTGTTTTGGTTGCATCAAAAGTACAAGTCAATCACCAGTTCACTACATATGCACCCACCACCCTCACACTTCAGGAAAGGTACTCTTGACATACCTAGAAACCCAAACCTTCTTTTTATCATCTTCCAACACCTTGAATGCCATTGCAACACGAGGATTGTCAACCAAATATGCATAGTAATGAGCAAGGTAATCCAAACTAAACCCAGGGAGTACTTTCATGCTCTCCCAAAGACCATCTATGGCATTGTTCTCGGTGCTAGAACTCTTCTCTATCGCAATAGCAATTCTTTCACTAGATGCAAGTATGGTGGCGTGTAACCTATCTTCCGCACAAGGATTTGGTTTGGGACCGGATGAACCTGCATTGGTTGATTGTGCAACCTCTTCATGTGGGGCAATGGGTTTCTTGGTTGTCTCTTCTTCAAGATTAACCACTTCTGTAGCAAGAGGGTCACTTGAGTCTTTTGCATATTGCCCTGTAGCCATGCTCCCTCCAGCTATATTCACCATCTCCTTATAATGAATAATAGTCTTGTTAAGGTATTGTTCGTCCTCTGGATGAGCCTTGTCGAAACAAAAAAAGTAATTTCAGTAAGTATTTGGACATAAAGGAAGAATTTTAGCAAGTATTTGGGCATATAGAAACAATTTCAGCAAGTATTTGAGCATATAAGAAGAATTTCAGCAAGTATTTGAGCATATAGAAACAATTTCAACAAGTATTTGAGCATATAGGAAGAATTTCAGCAAGTATTTGAGCATATAGAAACAATTTCAGCAAGTATTTGAGCATATAGGAAGAATTTCAACAAGTATTCGAGGCATATATAAATAATTTCAGCAAGTATTTGAGCATATAAGAAGAATTTCAGCAAGTATTTAAGCATATAGGAAGAAAAGGAGGCAAGTATTTGACTTCACAAAACTCCATTACAGCAAAGTAAGTTCATGATCAAGAAAAATAGTTACCTTAACATGATTTGTGCAATGCTCATGATCAAGAACAATCATAGACTTGTCCTCATCCCATAGTGCACCACTCAACTCCTTGAGTTTCACTATTTTCTACAGTTTCCTCTTCCATGTCCTATTATGATTTTTTATCTGATCTCCATTCAAGCTAAGTTGGAAATGCTCATTCAAAGCAATGGCACAATTGTTGAGCTGTGATTGCTAGAATGCAGTACTTGTTCTATTGCCACTAGAGACCAAATCACTTAACCATGTTAGCATGAACTTGGACATGGTAGGTGACCATGAAACTTGCTTAGCCATTTCCTACAATTTCCAGCAAGGGTTTGGACATTGAGAAAGTAATTTCAGCAACTTAAATAGTATTACAAATAGTAATTTCAGCAAATAATATGTCCTTACAAATAAGTTCCAGCACACAGAATAGTTCAACACAACGACCTAAATGACATAGTAGTTACTACATATTTTGACCTTGCAAATGGTTTTGTCGGTCTTCCCACATTTGATCAGCAAGTCCTTGCCTAAAACTAGCCATGTATGCATGTTCATGTGCTTGACCACTTGATGATGAAGCATGAGTAATATTTGGCACCCATTCTTCCTCGGGTATGATATATTCATCTATCCCATCATTTATTACCCAATTGTGAATAATGCAACAAGCCACAACAATGTCAACTTGTGTTGGAAATAGAAAGAATGGGGTGGCATCATCAAGTATCTTGAATCTTCTCTTCAATGAGCCAAATGCACGTTCAATGGTCACACGAAGAGAAGAATGCCTAAGGTTGAACAACTCCTTCTTGTTTTGCACGGGGTTGTTTCCCCACTCATTCAAGTGATACCTCACGCCACGAAAAGGAGGCAAAAAACCCAGTTTGGCTCCATATCCAGCATCAACTAGATAAAATTTTCCTAAACGAGGAACATTCAGGTTACTTGATTATATATATAAATACCCCATTGACAAATGTATATAGTTCATCTATTACCTTGTGGGACACGTAGACCATTCTCACGTTCTAAAGCATCATGCCTAAGTCTTTCTACCACGAAAGGCAGCCTCCATATCTGGTGTAACAGAGGCTCGCACATGTGTGCCATCGATAGCTCCAATACAATCCTATTTGGTGAAAACAAAACCCAAAAATTAGGATCTAAACAAATTCATGCCTGCAATGACAAAATATAGTTGTCACTCCGTCTCACATACCTTAAAGTATGGATCCCACCGATAGTTTCCTTCTATTTTGGTTTGGGTCTCCAATGAAGGCTTCCTAATAAGGTCATCTCGAAGCTCACCAATGGCATGGAGTACCCTTTTGAAGTAATGGCTCACGACTTCACCAGATCTACCAAAATTGGCGCCAATTACCCTATTTCTAATGTTGTGCCCAACGGTGTGCAGGAACATTGCTAGTTGTTGCTCAACAGTCAAGTGTATTGTGTCATTTAGCAAGTTGCGATCCCTAAACAGTTGACAAAACCTAAAGAAAGGTTCTCTCCGAAGCCTAAGCATGTTCACACAAGTTGTGTCATTCTTCCATATTTTGTTGTCAAAATACCCTCTTCTCATCCTATCTCTCTCATCAATTGGGGCATACGTAATTGCTTCTCTTCTTTTTCTTTTTCTGGATTGAACAACCAATGTTATCATGTTGATAAACCATTGTGCCGCAACCACATAAATTAACATCTTTATTTTTCTGTCCATCTACAATGCAATTACAAATGATACTTTAACATGTGAACAAGAATAATTCAATAGCACACAATCTGTCTACAAGAAGGCAATTATTCAGAGGTAAATCAACATTCTTTTCTACTGTCAAATATTTCAAAAAAAGAAACAGGGGGTTAAACAGAGGGGTGTATGTGTTACCTCAATTGAAGGAGTTGTGCTGCTAGATGTGCTCACGGTGACCTTCAAATATCCTGCAACAGTACGTAATATACAATCAGTTCCCAACAAAAAAATAGATAATATAGATCAGTCTTGTACACACACACATGACCAGCCTCTAGCACACGCACTCATGAACATTATGCATCAGTCTGCAACAGTAAACTTCAGAACACACACACGCAGATGCAGCCGAGCAGATTCAGCCGTGCACATGTAGCCGAGCACATCACCGAATGCACTTGTGCTCGCCATGGAGAAGCTCCCGTGTGCACTTGCGCCGCTCGTGGGGGAATCCTTCTCCACCTCCGCCTACAGGCCCTGGTGGTGAGCTCCTCCCATGGCCAGGCTCCCCACGGTGGGCATGGGTGGCCTCCTGGTGCCGCTCGCGCCTCCTTAAGCCCCCAGCCGCCGTCCTCATTCAGATCTCGCGCCGCCGCCTCAAATCTAGCCCGCGTCACCCCTGAGCACACCCTCCACAATGACCAACCGGCACACGCGATTGATGGAGGTGGGAAGATAGAAGGAGAGGAGGAGAGAGGGAAAGAGTAGAGAAGGAATCACCTCTCGCCGGCCTTTCTGCTGGATGCGTCGCTGCCGCTATCGCCGCCTCTCACGGAAGAAAGAGATGAGTAATGGGGAAAGTGAGGGTTTCGCGGGGGGTGAGCGGGGGTCAATAGGCGAAAATATTGTTTCGCGCCTGGATGAAGCGACGCGCGCGCAGGGTGGTTGCCGCGACCCGCTCGTTTTTCGCGGGTGACACCAGCTCCCTTTTTGGCGAATATTCGAGGCATCTGGCTGCCCCTATCCTCCCTTGCATCGGATCCAAACATGTGGCATCCCCCGCATAGAAGGGCTATCCCTGTCCCTCGGAGGATATCGCTGCAACCAAACACATTCTTAGATCTCTTGAATGGATGCATTAAAGATGGAAGAATTGCCCCAAAATCTCTACAAGGGCAATGTCAGGGTCATGTTAAGAAGCTCACCGTCATTATTGAAGCAGTTGAATAACAAAATCTTTGGATTTGACACGCTTTCTTTGGCATGCCCGGGTCTCACAATGACATCAATGTCACCATTGTTTGTCAGGATGACTAGAGGGAAAGCCCCTCCTTGCAACAATACTATTAATGGGCATGAATAGAACATGGGATACAATCTGGTTGACGGTATCTGATACGTCTCCATTGTGTCTATAATTTTTGATTGTTTCATGCCAATATTCTTGAACTTTCATATACTTTTGGCTACTTTTTATACTATTTTTGGGACTAACATATTGATCCAGTGCCCAGTGCCAGTTCCTGTTTGTTGCATCTTTTATGTTTCGCAGGAAACCCATATCAAACGGAATCCAAACGGGATAAAAACGGACGGAGAATATTTTTGGAATATTTTGGATTTTTCGGAGGAAGAATCAACGCGAAATGGTGTCCGAGGTGGCCACGAGACAGGGGGCGCACCCTCCCCCCTCCCCCCCGGGCGCGCCTGGCACCCTCGTGGGCCACCCGTAAGGCGGTTGATGCCCTTCTTTTGCCACAAGAAAGCTAATTTTATGAGAAAAATTTGGGCGAAAGATTCACCCCAATCGGAGTTACGGATCTCCGGATATAAAAGAAAACGGTGAAGGGGAAGGATCTGAGAACGCAGAAACAGAGAGATAGATCCAATCTCGGAGTGTCTCTCGCCCCTCCCACGCCATGGGAGCCAAGGACCAGAGGGGAAACCCTTCTCCCATCTAGGGAGGAGGTCAAGGAAAAAGAAGAAGAAGGGGGGCCCTCTCCCCCTTGCTTCCGGTGGCGTCAGAACGCCGCCAGGGGCCATCATCATCACCGCGATCTTCACCAACACCTCCGCCATCTTCACCAACATCTCCATCACCTTCCCCCATCTATATTCAGCGGTCCTCTCTCCCGCAATCCGATGTACCCTCTACTTGAACATGGTGCTTTATGCTTCATATTATTATCCAATGATGTGTTGCCATCCTATGATGTCTGAGTAGATTTTCGTTATCCTACCGGTGGTTGATGAATTGCTATGATTGGTTTAATTTGCTTGTGGTTATATTGATGTCCTATTGTGCCCTCTGTGTCGTGCAAGCGTGAGGGATTCCCGCTGTAGGGTGTTGCAATACGTTCATGATTCTCTTATGGTGGGTTGTTTGAGTGACAGAAGCATAAACCCGAGTAAGGGGATTGTTGCGTATGGGACAAAGGGGACTTGATGCTTTAATGCTATGGTTGGGTTTTACCTTAATGAATCTTTAGTAGTTGCGGATACTTGCTAGAGTTCCAATCATAAGTGCATATGATCCAATAAGAGAAAGTATGTTAGCTTATGCCTCTCCCACATAAAACTTGCTATCGGTCTAGTAAAGTAGTCAATTGCTTAGGGACAATTCCACAACTCCTACCACCACTTTTACACACTCTCTATATTTACTTTATTGCATCTTTATCTAAACAACCCCTACCTTTTATTTACGTGTTCTTTATTATCTTGCAAACCTATCCAACAACACCTACAAAGTACTTCTAGTTTCATACTTGTTCTAGGTAAAGCGAACACTAAGCGTGCGTAGAGTCGTATCAGTGGCAGATAGGACTTGAGAGAATATTTGTTCTACCTTTAGCTCCTCGTTGGGTTCGACACTCTTACTTATCAAAAAAGGCTACAACTATACCGTATACTTGCGGGTCATCAAGACCTTTTTCTGGCACCGTTACCGGGGAGTCATAGCATGGGGTGATTATTCTCTTGTGTGCTTGTTTGCTTTATCACTAAGTAATTTTTATTTGCTGTTCTTAGTTGTTTTCTATCTTTAGTTATGGGTAGGAAACGCAAAATACCAAAAAAATTAGTTGTACCTACTGAACCAATGGTTGAAGAACCACTCAAAATCTATCACACTCTTGAAGCTTTTTACTTGGATCATCTTCGATCCCTTTGTGCTCGTGCTGAAACCCCCACTAGCTTAGTTGAGGGCAAATCTTTAGATGAGGATGCTTGTTATGTGCGACACCGTATATCTAAAAAAGGGAAACTTTTACTGGATCAAATTCATCATTTGCAATGCTATGCTTGGAATTTATGTGAAATATATGATGTTACTTGTTGTTCTGAAAACCCTAAGAAACACATTCCCTACCAATGTGAGTTTATTGATAATGGGATCATATCTTCCTATGCTAAGGGTGTTTATAATTACTATGATGTTCAACAAATTGAAGAATTTGTTGCTTTTAAGGGTGCTTATGAAATTGCTTCTTTGATTGAAAAGTATGATACCACTCTTTACAAATCTGAATTTTTTGCCAGACTTGAATATTGTTATGATAATTATGCTTCTAATGCCTATGTTAAACTATATATTGAGAAATTCTCTGCTGTCCAAGAAGAGACTAATATTTTGCAGGAAGCTATGGAAGAAGAAATTGATGAAACTTTGAGCTCATTAGATGAAAAAGATGATGAGGAGAGCGAAGAACAAAAGGAGGAAGAGCGGACTGATCACCCGTGCCCACCTTCTAATGAGAGTAACTCTTCAACTCATACATTGTTTAATTCCCCTTCGTGCTTACCGAAGAATGATTGCTATGATGATTGCTATGATCCCGTTGATTCTCTTGAAATATCCCTTTTTGATGATGCTTGCTATGCTTGTGGCCAAGATGCCAATATGAATTATACTTATGGAGATGAACTTGCTATAGTTCCTTATGTTAAACATGAAATTGTTGCTATTTCACCCACACATGATAGTCCTATTATCTTTTTGAATTCTCCCTACTACACTATATCGGAGAAGTTTGTGCTTATTAATGATTATATTGATGGGTTGACTTTTACCGTTGCACATGATGATTTTGATGAATATATTATGCATGTGCTTGCTGCTCCTACTTGCAATTATTATGAGAGAGGAACTATTTCTCCACCTCTCTATGTTTCCCATACTATGAAATTGCAAGAAACTACTTATACTATGCGTTGGCCTTTACTATGTGTGCATGAATTGTTATTTTATGACATGCCGATGCATAGGAAGAGAGTTGAGGGAGTCCCGGACTAGGGGGTGTCCGGATAGCCGAACTATCATTATCGGTCGGACTCCAAGACTATGAAGATACAAGATTGAAGACTTCGTCCCGTGTCCGGATGGGACTTTCCTTGGCGTGGAAGGCAAGCTTGGCGATACGGATATGTAGATCTCCTACCATTGTAACCGACTCTGTGTAACCCTAGCCCTCTCCGGTGTCTATATAAACCAGATGGCTTTAGTCCGTAGGACGAACAACAATCATACCATAGGCTAGCTTCTAGGGTTTAGCCTCCTTGATCTCGTGGTAGATCTACTCTTGTAAGACACATCATCAATATTAATCAAGAAGGACGTAGGGTTTTACCTCCATCAAGAGGGCCCGAACCTGGGTAAAACATCATGTCCCTTGTCTCCTGTTACCATCCGCCTAGACGCACAGTTCGGGACCCCCTACCCGAGATCTGCCGGTTTTGACACCGACATTGGTGCTTTCATTGAGAGTTCCTCTGTGTCGTCACCGATAGGCTCGATGGCTTCTTTGATCATCATCAGCGATGCAGTCCAGGGTGAGACCTTCCTCCCCGGACAGATCTTCGTATTCGGCGGCTTCGCACTGCGGGCCAACTCGCTTGGCCAACTGGAGCAGATTGAAAGCTACGCCCCTGGCCGTCAGGTCAGATTTGGAAGTTTGAACTTCACGGCTGACATCCGCGGGGACTTGATCCTCGATGGATTCGAGCCACAGCCAAGCGTGCCGCACTAT